TCCCTCGCCAGCTTCGAAGAGGCATCTAGCATCCCTTGTCGTATTTTATCGTTCTTTGCTAACATAGAAAAGCTGATCTTTACTCGATGAAACGAGGTTATGCTATCGTTTAAGTAGTGGAATATGGACTCCACATTGCGTCTCACAATGCTGGTGGTCAATTATCGCCACGGTAGATCCTTTTCTAGGCTAAGTAACGATCATTTGTCGACTTTCGCCTTCGGAGCGTCTCTCTTTTAGGCCTTTACCTTAGGGACTGCTTTTTGTCGCAGTCTGTTTTTGGCCACCGTGGCCCAGGTGCTCTAGCTAGCAGCACTGGGACGGCGGCTATTGCTTGGCCCCTGGCGTCGGGAGCCCTTGGGACTGGGTTCGACGGGCGAGGAGGGAGGACGGAAGGCTTAGAGGCCGGGCCCGAGGCCATGTACTCCGCAATAGCGGCGCGTAGGTAGACTTTCATGGAGTCTATGAATTGTCTGTTTGACCCGTTGGTCAAAAGTAGGAGGGTAGCTTCGACGCCAGAAATAGCGGCGGAACAGAGTGCCAGATTTGCCGCAGTTTTGGCGGCGCATCGTTGCTGGGCTTCGACAATTGGTCGTAGATCCAGAGGGCATTCTTTAATAGTGGCAGTTTGAGGCTGCGACTCCTTGGTTGGGGCTGCTTTTGTTACAGCGTTTTCCGACGGTTTGGACGTTGTCGGAGGAGATTTTGGCGATTCTCCAATCTCGTGGGGGATGGAGGTTGGTTGAAGAATTTCCTCAAAAATTTCGACTGACCCGATCATGTCAGTATCGGGCTCAGTGACGGCGAGGTGGGCTTTTACCTTCCCTTTAGTAGAGACCTTGCTCATCTCCGCGCATCTCGGAGACTAGGCAAGGCCAGGTAATTCTTCGAGAGCCCTCGGGCGGACTCTCGTGTTGTCCAACTTGGCGTTGGGACGCTTTTTGCGAACTGGAGGCATGGTGAGAATGGCTCAAGCTCGATCACAATTTGGAGATCGATGCGACGAGATAGAAAGGGGTGGAAAATAGGAAAATGGGAATGTTCGAATATCTCGAATTGTACGTTTGTTTGATTGCTATTCGTATGAGGCATATGCCCTAAACCCAATGGGCGTGAGACGGGTATGTGAAATTGACTCACTACTACCTACGTAGACGGCTCTACTTGCCAAAGGAACCATAAGGAAAAAACGTAAGAAACAATGCAGTGTGTCCAACAAAAGCGCCCTGCGCCCTGTCCTATTCTACCCAGCAATTGACTACTAAAATAACCACTGATACTCCTAGGGGAGCTTATTACTCTCCATCTACAGCCTTCTCCCTATAACATCTTGTTATAATTGCGGATTCGATAAATTTCTCGCAGCATCTCAATTGCCCTCGGGGGAGGTTCCCGTTTCATGCTTCTCCACCGTTGTAGGGCTGGTCGGCATTCTGCAAAGTGCCAAGGGCGTCTTTTTCGACAGCCCTCACATTTGGCTTCGAAATTTCATGCTTGAATCTTTGATACTATTTGGCAAAATCGCCGTGGCCAGCCCCAGCTACCATCGGTCTCGGTAGAGCAAGTTTTGGAGGTAGCTTCCGAGTCACCATAAAATCTATCCGTCTAGTGCTTAGGCGCATTTTCCTGCCATCATGCTACTACTAGTTCCTCCGCGCGCTCCTTAACAAATCTGATTACATAACGTGATGAATCCCAATCTTCTCAACGCAATATCCCGTGATCTGGACTCCATGGGCGCTGCAGATTTGTGGCCAATCGGCCAGTTCATTCTACCTAAACAGCTTCTCCCCAACCCATTCCCAAGGGTCGCGTCGAAATGATACGGAGGTCTTGACAGAGTATGTTTATTGATAAACAGCTTGGCCCAACCCGTTTGAACCGTGGACTCATCGTCAACATAAGTCCTGTCTCATTACCCGAAAGCGTTGTCTAGGTGCCCACATAAATTCTCAAGTCGAAAACCCTCGAAAATATCAGTCCCATCATGCCTAACAGTGACCTCTTTGCACTTTCATTCCACGACTCAGCTGCCTGTCTTCTCTCAACCTAAATGGGCCCGTTAGAGTAGCAATCTCCCACAAGCCGAAAGCCAATTCATGCATCCCAAAACTTACTCTTCACTTTACGGGTTTGCGCAGCATTGTAAACTTGTAGTGGGTGATATCTGGTGATGGATAAGACAAACTCCAATTTTCAAGTAGGGCGAGTCCTCGATCGGTCGTTGAAACGAAGCACTATGTGGTAAAATTGAATGGCAAGATCCGCGTGATGAAGTTAGGTCCGATATTGATGGGATAAAGTCGATTTGAGGTATAACTGATTTTGATTTCGACTTCTGTTGGCACGTGAACCTTCTTGGCTATCCCAGATATGCAGAGAATACAGAGCGATTACACCAGCACCTCTGGGAGGTGAAGAATTCGTGTTAACCAGCAAGTGTTTGGCCTGAGGCGGACTCCAAATAAACGCCCACGCCCATATTCATGCTCGGATTAGGATAAGATACGTGGTGCACAAATCTGGGCGGGAAGTATCCGCAATTGGACATGAGAGATGACAGGGTAGATTGGCAAGATCATAACAGTCATCACTAAAATCTTAGCAGGATTGAGATTCCTGTATTTGGAAAGGAGTTTTCGGAATTTAGCATTGTGCACTTCACTTCTTTAATTGCGAGAGATTGAGAGACATCATAAAACCGTCGTGGCTAGATGATGCAACGTTACATCTACAGGTTCTATTGTGAGGTTACGGATCGTAGAGGAATGCTGAAATGGTATAGGAAGATGAAGGATATCTGCCGAACAACGAAGCAGTTGAATAGAGCTTTGAGGATGAAGCTTGGTAGGGTAGCACGAAGATGATATGAATGGATATTCAGCAAATGTAATGAACTTAAGACTTCTGAGGGAGAAGAACACTACACAAGTATACAGTAATTAGTCCTTGTGTGGCAAATTTAGAAATAAGCCAGGATAATCGCCCTTGTCCCAGTATGGCGACGTTATCATTGTGAAGGTATGTCTTGACCATCAGTTGACCCCCAAGCTAGCTGAGAGCAAGACAGAATCATGCATATACCGTAATTTCCAACATATCTTGTGTTAAGCCCCAGGAATAATTGATATTATAGAAAATAGATGTGGTGCAATATTAAGTGATACGAATAACGGAAACGAAAACGAGATAATACTTGACTAGTGTAACAGATGCAGGACTGTTAGAATTGCAACAGGTTCAACCTACCAGGTAGAATCTAGTTAGCATGTACACTTACCTCATTTGAGACAGGAGATTGCTAGTTCGCATTCGGCAAAACACAACCACAATTCCTGTCCTGCGGTGCTGATTTATAAAGATGATGAAGAAATGAAGAAGAAATGCTTGGATTATCAAAGGGTACTGAGGAAATAATGACCCCACAGTCATTGAGGTTGTAGAGCGCGATGATTCAATTTACTACCAAAGGAAAAACTAAGTACAGAGTTTGCAGTCACGTGTGTATCAACAACGTGGCCTACTTGATAGCCCCAATTATTCTAAATTCTGACAAAGATGTTTAATTTTGCTATGGTGGGTTCTCACGGAAGAGGGTCGACTGTGTAAAGTAAGCAATCCAAATAGTGACATTTGCCATTAAGAGCCTGAGCATGAGATTCTGTAATTTTTATAAACAATAAACGCCATTATTGCAGCTCTAAAGCATATTTTACATTTAATGATTTTAAAGTGAGAAATGACGGCCGCTTGCGGGAAAATTCTAGAATACCACTGAGTGCGGGGCTCCACTAATCTGAAAACAGGAACCAATCGGATGGAACAGCTGCTCTTTTGGAGCGTTTGAATCGTTCGGCTAGCCAGTTGCGGCAGAAGTGCGAGCAACCTGGAACGTTTCTCTCCCCCTCTCCTCCCCGCATTCTGATGTCAGAATTTTGAGTAGCCTTGTCCACGAGCCAAATTCCACATTCCTCAAGGGCGGAAGATTAGTTTACTTTGTTTCCGGTGGGTATTGGCTTGTCTACCGTCGAGAAGCATGTGGGGATATGGCGAGGCATTATCTGAATATTGAGGTAGCATATGGTACTGCAATATTTCCCCCATGCTCAGCATCATTATCATTGCCGCAATCGTCGTAGGAGTTATCGGAAGCGTTTCTTTGAGAGAGAGGAGAATAACCTGACTCACGGTTGAAAAAGATTTGACTCAATGTTTAGCCTGTATATTCTCCGGTTAGAGTTGGAGGTTCACAGTTTGATAGTATTACCTACAATTAAAAAGATGTATGAACAATTCTTGTGATTTGATAAAAGAATCAAATTTTGCTCACGCAATGTCCTCAGCCATGGGTTGGGCGTGGTTGCGACTGTCGCGAAAATGTGTGAGTCATGCCTGGCATCGTCTGGTGAATCATTAAATTCCGCTTACATAAGCTTTATGACCCAAGCTCGATGATGAATTCGTTGATGATAGAGGCGCAGTTATTTTGTGTCACGGTAAAGGAACTAACCATACAAAATATAGAATGAAGAAACCGGTAAACATCGATGCTATGTGACTAGATTTAATTCACCAAAATTAATAAAATCTGCACATATCACGCACGTACACTACGTTCAATTTATCATCACATCATCTGGCATGAATCAAGTTCAGGAAAAATATTATCCGATTAGTTTAATCCCAGTGAGTATTCACTGCCGCCTCTCAGATGGTCAATTTTTGACCTATCATTGGCTCAAGAGCCTTTTAGAGCTAACGTAGCCTAGTGTTGTAGTGTCAGTAAAAACATCCTGGATCATACAAGTTTCGCAACACAGAGGCTGACTTGAGTCAGAGTTCCCGGGCGCGAAGGTTCCTACCCCCAAAACATAACTTATAAATCTAGCAAAATTTTTCAACGACTCTTATATGTCTTCAACTACAGCTACACTATATAAAATTTGTTTCAAGATCAAAATTTAAAAGTTCTTCACTGTGCTGGCTGTGAGCAGCAGGCGATGCCATCGCCAGAGAATGTAAGGATGAGTGACGAAAATGCTTCAAAGTCCACATATTTCCCACTTGGCTACAAAGCATCAGCGAGCCAATGGTGGGCAGGTGTAGCGCCTACTATCGCCGAAAGCCATGTTATATCTTTGATACCCCATCTTCAAAAGCCTTGGGCCCATGACATCGTTGGAAATTCAAATTCAGCGTTAGAGGATTCTGCCGGACCATTACTCAAAGGTATACCATCAGACTTAGCCGCACAAGCTAAGGATCCACATGGCCCACGTGCTTGCTATTCGAATACAATCACTCTAGCTGGAAAAGATAGGACCTTGAATGAGCTCTCAATTGAGAGAACCGAGGAAGAAGTGGAGTATAATTTAGTAATGCTACACGGCTATGGTGCAGGACTAGGGTTTTTTTATAAAAACTTTGAAGGATTAAGTCAAATGAAAGGGTGGAAGATATATGCGCTTGACATGCTTGGGATGGGACGGAGTAGTCGGCCTCCGTTCAAAATACATTCAAAGAGCCAATCGGAACAAGTAACGGAAGCGGAAAACTGGTTCATCGATGCCTTGGAAGAATGGAGAATTACGAGAAAATTAAAGAGCTTCACGCTCCTTGGTCATAGTCTGGGTGGTTACATGGCTGTGGCATATGCTTTGAAATACCCCGGACGACTAAACAAACTCATTCTCGCCTCTCCAGTTGGAATACCAGAAGATCCATACGCAGTGCGGACAGATTTACCCGAGCCTAAAGATTCGACTTTGGCGAATGAGTTCACTCAGACTCAAGACAGTATAATGAAGGACAAGAAATTAGAGACTAAGATAGATAATAATCCACCCGGTGGTACTCATTCCAAAGCTAGCTCACCTAAGAAGGATATAAACCCAACTCCTCGCCGCCCACTGCCGAGATGGCTTGTTTATTTGTGGGATGCAAACATATCTCCTTTTAGCATCATACGCTGGACAGGACCACTTGGACCGCGCTTTGTCTCGGGGTGGAGTTCAAGACGGTTTTCTCAGTTGCCAATCGAAGAGTCAAAAGCTCTTCATGAATATGCATATTCCCTTTTCCGTCAACGTGGTAGTGGAGAGTATGCTCTTGCTTACATTCTAGCACCAGGTGCTTTTGCTCGGAGTCCTTTAATTAATCGAATTCATAAAGTGGGCCGGCAATATTTTAAATCTAACGATGTTGAAGAGAATACTACAGGTAGCTCATCTTCACTGCAGCCGGAAATTAGGGAGGCTGGAATTCCAATAGTTTTTATTTATGGCGAAAATGATTGGATGGATGTCGCTGCTGGCTACTTAGCTGAGAAGAAACTCGAGGAAGAAAAAAGTAGAGTTCTAAAGGAGGCAAATGAAGAAGAACGAAGGAGAGAAAATGGAAGCGCCAAGGTGTTGGTGATAAAAAATGCCGGTCATCATTTGTATCTAGACGGGTGGGAGGAATTTAATGAGGTCATAAGAGAGGAAATGAAAGATACGGAGAGAAACGGTTGGAAAAGATAATACTTACAGACTGGTAGTATTCACTTCCGTTTTTTCTGACCGACTACATCGAATTATCAATTTTAGCCAATATATAATATAGATAGAGGCTATAGATTTTACGTGGGGAACAGCTGGTATGCGTCCTTGGGCAACTCCACTCTGTCATTTTATCAAAACGAGGATTATATATATTCATGTTAAAGGTTATCTTAAGAAAGATACGTGGGACACGGTATTGAGTTGTAAATGTTGACTAGAGAGCCCAATAGCTACAGATGAAGACTATGAACTGAGTCAAGTCATATGACCTGACTAGCTTAGTTTACATGAGTAGGTGGAATGGCTCCCCTTGACAGGCTCTACCGAATCACATAAAAGTCTTTAATGTTATTCTGACCCATAGGCAACGTGACGTACCTATTGTTACAGTCATTATTATAGATTCAATCGGTGATTATACTGCGAACGCACCCTTGGAAGCATATTTCAAGACGAGTCCAGTTAAAATATATGTATGCCTTCACGCATTTTTTAACCTGCTAATGGGCGAGGTAATTTTTGCTTTGCAAGGCCTTGCATGCTTTTTATTATTGTGGGATCTAAGCAAAATGTTTGGAATCTTTTTTCTGACAAATGATAGCTTAATGATGTACGTCGGACCAGGGTTTTTGAAGTGAAGAGAGAAATGGTGCAGAATGTGTAACCGCAGGAGCTATTGTTCCCAATTCTCTATCTTCTTATCGGGAACTCCCTGATGCTGTAGTAGCATGCCAGACTCGGAGGCTAGTCTGCATCTACAGCGGGATCTTGACAGAAATTACAGAGGTATAATTGTCCTTAGTCTCGGGCACGGTAATAGAGACGGGCTTTCACGTAGACCAGCAATTAGACACCGTACCGTGTGGGACAGGATTTGATGGTTATTCCGGACGGATGAATTCTTTCCAGGGTAGAGACTACCGATTCTTGTTACAAGATAGAGTGATTGGGGCTACCAAGTAGACCAAGTTGTTGCAACAAACAAACAAACAAAACCTTTACTTAGCTTTATTTTATTTATTTTTTATGTCTACCGGGCACTAGTTACAACTAAATCCCCATCCCTGAGGGGACATGGTGACTACAAAGTAATTCAAAACGTGATATGCAGTGGTAGAGGCCATGAAAATATATTTAGAAACTGCGAGCGCTATGCAGCGGGTACCTCACAAGAATTGCTCATATTTAACGGAGTGGGCAGATTTCTGACTGGAACCTAACTGTCAGGGGAAGGTGGTGAAACGCTTAGCTCCTGGGGAGGTGCTTAGAAGAAAATAGAGTGAGCCCATACTTCGTCGATGGCCGGCCGAAGCCAGTCTCTCTCGCACAATGGGGCAAAAAACTAAATGAGTGGTTGACTTGTAGGGCCCGCAGGAACAAGTCAGAAGGACATCAAGATGATGAAACCCTTCGTGATAGCCACGAAAGTCACCGTGTCCAGTGCGGCATTGGATTAAATACCCGAGATATCGGCGAGGGAGTCGAAGTTCCTCAGGAGGCTTCTTGGGAAATGGCATCCCTAACTCACAATAGGTAGAGAGAGCATGAGATTGCCACCAAGCTGTGGTCAAGTCCCATATTTGCCTTTTAATCTTTGCGCGGACTCCGGCAAGGGATGCGGCAGAGGGCTTTACTTAGCTTTACTCTGGTAGTTAATTGAATCAACGTGCTCTACGACCTCGTGACTCATGGGTCATTATTTCCCTCCTGATTTTCTGATTTCTACGAGTTCAGTAGATATCCTGGCCCCACGACAAATTCTGGGCGACTTCAGGCTCGAGAGATATTGTAAAACATCCGTGGTAGGCAGTTCAAAGAAACAGCTGAAGCCGAATTTAATGGGAAACTCAATCCTCTGTGAATCAATAGATGACTTACAGCTGTAGAACGATACCAAAGTGTATCCCTCGAACTCTTCGTGAGCCGAAGTGAAAAGTGCGGGTCGCGTAGGTCGTGTCAATATGCTGGGCCGAGAGGGGATTTGATTTGAATTCATGTCGTATCAGGCTGACGCCCTACACCCAATAGGCCTCATACGGGTCTACGCTCCCTGGGGACATACTACAACCTAAATACATGCTTTGATTGTCAAATCTATACGCAAAACCTAAATTATGAATTCATTCCAAGAAATATAAGCGCCCTGCGCCTATCCTCCTCCCTCACAACCCTTTGTCCTGAAAAATTCGATTTCGGCAAGACTTCATCCTTCCGGTGTGATATTTGCCTCTCGTAACACTTAGTTCCTGTTAAGAGCTAGAGAAATCTCTCCAAACCCTTTTCTGCCAGCATCTCCCGTCCTCTCGGTGATGGTTCATGCTTCGAGTTTCTCTACTATTGTAGAGAAATTCGACATTCGGTAGATCGTAGGCTGTGAGGGGAATAAATGAATGAAAGTTTATTCGTGACGGGCACAAGCCCTGCACTCAAAGAGTATGACACGGTGAAGACTAGCTTCTCCGACGACTATATATGACGATAACTTTGACATTTGGACTGCTCAAGTAGTGGGTACATTCGCTCATACCACTCGAGACCTTGGTGCAAGGGACTTTCAGCCTTCCCTCAACCGTTAATTTCCAAAGGGAAAGCAGGAAGAACCCTTGGCTACCCTAACATGCCTTTGTCATCTTGTATATAGCCGCCGCGCGAGATATGGCCTCACAGTCTCATCTTTCTCGGGTGAGGTAGGTGTCCAGGCTACCCAGACTTTTATTCGGGGAGATGACGACCAGAAGGCGGAGCAAAACACCTTCCATCGTTGCCTGTCTAGAGTGTCGGTTGCACTATCCGAAATCGTTGCTTCTGCGCCCATAGACACTCGCAAGTCGAAATCACTCGAAAAATGCGCGTCCCAGCACGCCCATTTGTGGCCTCTTCACTCGTTCGTCCCACGTCCTAGCTGCCTGTCCTCCCTCGAGATGTAAAGCCCCATTAGAGCAACGGTCCCCCATAAGCCAGGACCCAGGCTTTGAATTTTTCGACTTGATTTCCTACTTGCGGGTATGAATAGCGTCGAAAATATATAGTGAGAGATGGCTGGAAATCAATGGGGCAAGCTCCTCTTTGCAATTGGAGCACTTCTTTATTGGTTTTCGAGGCGAGATGATGCGTGGTTAGAAAGAGGTTGAGGATCCAGATTAGAATAATAAGAGAGGCATTGACGAGGAGTCGTCGAGTTTAGATATGCTTGAGGTTGCTTTCGACTTCGATTCGGATGCGATTCTTCTTGGATATCCCAGGTATCCTGAGCATACTGAGCGATTACACCGGTACCACTGGAAGGTGGAGAATTCGTCTTTGTCGGATACCCGGTGGTAGTGGCTGGGCTTTATCATAGCTAGACAGCTGCACACGCTGTGGGTACTGGTAAGTAATTGAGACTGTAATCGCTCCGGACTCACGATATCAGATCCACAGGGTGATCAATATCGAAGTCTAAATTAAGCAGAAGGTTGTCTGGTCTGTCTTCCATCGACTTCTACGCTCTATATACATTCTATGCTATTGCCCTCAGCGGCGATCCTATCTTCCCTAACTAGTGGTAAGACGACGCTCGTACCTCGTCGCCAGCTCCCATTATCTGCGCTTTAGGATCCCCAACGCAATTAAAATCAGATGCAAAAAAAAGTGGCTGGGCTTAACCACGGGCGCAGTCTTGCATGTAGATTGGATTCGACAAATTTGTCTGCCCATTGCACAGGGCACGACACTATTTCATTGTTTAAATAGCGGGTCTTTTGTTTTATTTGCATCAGATTTTTATTGCGTATGCAGATTTCTAGCTATGTCACAGTATCAAAGAAAAGTACTTAATAGATGACTCAATGTAAAGGAAGAGCACCCATGCCTTGGATTTCATTTGCAAGTACCACTGCGAAGTTATGCTGGCTTTTTCTTCACCCCAAGTCAACCCTCATCCGTGAATACCCACCCAGGGACACGTCTCAATAACCCAGAGTTATCCAGACATGCCTCTATCATCCATTTACTTTTCTTGCAATTGGGTTGATACTATTTACGATTGTATGCTAGTCGGTAGCTATGCTTCTTTTTTGCTAGCTTGAGTTATGCTGCCCTCATCATCATTTGCGAGCAAATCTTCAATGCCCTCTAGAGTACTGGTTCTAGGCTCGAAAAGATCCAAATCTTCCAAAGAGTGCTACCACAGACCCGATCTTTCACAAGCAAGTCGTCGAAAAACACAAAGTCAAACTTGTTGCTGTTCTTCCTCTCTTCTTCAACTTCCTGTAATCGGCGAGAATTGACTCTCGTAAAGCGTTTATATTTATTTTCAACCTATCGTGGAGGTGAGCATACTTGGCGTTAAATGCAAACAAACAATACCTATTGTGGACTCTGGTGTGCAAGGACGCGAGGAATCAAATGACTCGTTTGGCTTAATTTTGATGGAGCTGAACAAGGTGGATAAGGACGAAAGTATAACGGCCAGAATGGAACAATTAACCATGTCAGCATAATTTACCATTCCCCAAATGTGGCCATCGATGGCCGTATCAGAAACAACCGACACATTGAACCATCTGACTGTTAAGCCGCAGGTACCGAGCAGAGCATATCAAACAGTGAAGCCCACAGGTTCTAGAAAGATGGACCACCGCAAGAGATATCTACAGTATCCCAGATATTACAACAAATATTACATACCTATGATATCAGCAGCGTTCTTACCATACATGGATGACGGCATAGTTTAACCAGGTCTGTTTTCCTGCTGAAGGGAAGCTGCTCATTTAATCAATTGCTAAAGCTTGCCACGATGGATCAGGACTTGGGAGCTGCCGCGTCAGCTACTTTAGAAAGCTTAGATGGATATGTGAAGTGCATTTGCCAAAATTGTAAACATATCAAAGTCAATCATAGTTTAAACATCATCCAGATAGGCAACTACCACTCCTTTAATTTCGTCAACGCCAACATTGGCCCAGAGTATTATCACCACATTTTCATCGTCATCACCGAGAAATCTTGTCATCAATCATCTATAGGACCTCAGTAGTAAAACGAGCGGATTGCTGTTCGAGGTTCAAATTTCGGCTTTGTGAGCACGATATTTTCCACATGAAGCTTCTCAGCGCTGCCTCCACGGCCGCGCTGGCGTGCCTTTTGTTACTGGCGCCTGTTACACTTGGAGATGGATACTTTCAATGCAGTTATGACGAAAGATTCACCCTTGCATACGTCCAACAAAAAGATTCACAGTGTGAAGTAAGACATGCGAAAGATGATGAACCTAAAGGTCCCAACGGCGAATTATACAGAACAACTCATATCCTGACGACGCCACGGATAGGACGCAAGTTATCTCTTCCTCCGACATTGCTCTCACTAACAATTCTTCTTGGTGAGTAGTATACGTATACTATATAATTCAAGTTGTTGATGACGCCCCAACCTACCGCATCTATGAGAATCTATCAATAGAATGGGAACCATGTGTTTATCAAGAAATCAATGAACAAGTGCAACATGGAGATAATGATTTTGATCAAAGCGGTATCTATTAACGGAAATTGGCAATAGAATAAGATAAAGAACATGGCCATGGAAAGCCCCTCGTGCTCGGCAAGATCTTACATATCCGTCAGTGAAGTGTAGTTTATGAAGAAAATAATGACCCCTCAGTGATTGAAGTTGCAGAGCACATGCATTCAAATAACTTCCGATGTGCAACTTATGTTAGGATACTGAGGACGTGGAGTCATAGGGATTATAATATGCTGTTTATAGAGAATTTAAGATTTGTTATAGTAATACAGAATGATGGATGTAAACGTGGCACCGAGAGATTGCACAATCTTGTTCTAACTAGCCAGTTGTCTGAGAAGTATTTCCCAACATCTCCTTGACAGTCCTGGGCATTTCAGATTCCAACCCTTAAATGGATTTGACACCTTGATATGCCAGGAAATCCTCTTCCCATCGGACGTGACCCGGGTTGTAGATACCTTTGCTTACATATCTGCCTTGATGACCGGCCCTTTTAGGCCGGGAGAAAATAATATGCGAGTAATTTGAAAAAAAGGTCCTATGCCGCAAATCTTGTTCTTGAGACACCAGAGATAAATCGGTGCTGCGAGGCGAGAGAAACAATCTCAGCAAATAATCTCCCTCTTCCCGCATTTTTTGCCCGGCTAATGCCCAGGGATGAGGTTTAGACCGTGGTCCACGGGGTGCGTTAAGCGGTCAAGTAGAGGTCTAGAGGGTAAGTGAATATTTTAAAAGGTGTCCCAGGCATGACTGGTTTTCCCTAGGAAGAGACGAATCGGCAACTTATTCCGGTAGATGTTATATGTAAGTCTTGCTACCTAAGGGCTCGTTGTTAGAGGACGAATCACTTGAGTTTGTGCTGTCTGCGCCAGTTCAGCAGAGGCGGAGCATAGAGCTTAGCTAGCTACGGGGGCTACCAATGTTGCGGTCTAGATATGGTTGCTTAGCAACATAGATTATTATGATCGGCGCTGATAATTACAATTCCCTATCTACACCGCGAGAATTAAGCGTCCTTCTTGCTCCAGACATCATCAACTAACTGATTCTAATCTGGACTTGCTCTGTTCTATTTTGTCATCAATTGACCCGGCGTTAATCGTAATAGTATAGGAGGTCTCCCCGATCGAGAGATGGGTAAAAAAATGTAGTGTGAGGGCAAATAATACAGAAAACGTTGGGCGAAGAGAAAACCCCATAGACGCTGACCCATCACGTAAAGAGATGAAAGAATTCGATAGCCTGATTAAAACATGAGTGATACCTGCCCATTTCCAAGCGTTGACGATGCTATGTATGTCATTTTCATGACTCTATTTAGTTGTCCCCGAACAAGCCATGACGAATTGATCTGCAACCATCCAACTCCCTTCTGGAACGCAGCAAATCTTCATAGAGATGAAAAGACGGGAAAGACAGGAATGAGCCAAAGAGGAACACCTCCCAGTATCCATAAAAACTTTCACAGGGCCCAAAGTAGCACAGCCATGCAGTTAAGAAGTGAGCACATTGGGTTCAACTCTTATCTGCACAGAAGACATGTTCTCGGTGTAGACAGCCCACGATGCCAATGTGGATATCCGGCCCAGAATGTCAAGCATATGATCATGGCCTGCATCAACTGGGCCAGAGGGAGAGGGGAGATACTGAGAAAGGCAGAGAATCGGACATTCGAAGCGATGCCGAATAACCCGAAAGATGTAGCTAGAATTACAGGGCGGATACGATAGGAAGGAAGGCTAGAGCAGTCTCGACTGAAGCTTGAAGTCGAAGTCACGATGAGTGAGAGAGAGAGGGCAGTAGGGGTAAGATGATCTCCTGCCATAAGTAAGGGAGTGGACGGTATCCGCACTAGACATGACAGTTTTAGTGCACTTCGTGAAGGTAACACAACTTTAAAGTGTAAATAGATCGAAAAGTTGAGGCGGTTTTTACCATAAAGGTTTCCACCTGTGTAAACATTAGGGTTCGTAGACACATGTATGGGCCTTAAGGCGCCAGATCGGGCTAAATGAAATCGTATTCAAAATCCAACTCCCTTTGCTCCGTGATTTCTTGGCCTATAGTCTTCGATTCGCTGATCCGTGAGATTAGCCCCCCATTTGATCGCGAGCTCCTGCGTGGTTCGGATAAATATATTTTTGTTCCAGGGGCCCTGCCTTTATGGTTTGGTTTGTTCATTGACGTGCTGGATAAATTGACTACCGTTGCACTCCTACTGGAGCTTGAGCACGGGTGGGGTTAGGTTGACTATCATTAAGTACAAGTGCCTCATCTCACCTGAATGACCGGACCACCTCAGACTTCACCCATGTGTTGAATCATGTCAAGCCCAAACGTCCAGACAACCCGCTGTATACACGCCGTAGCGCAAATTCCTCCTCAGCCTCGGCCACCATGCACCCGAGCCCTTGATATTCTCACTGCCTCTGAAATATAAATAAAATGCAAGAAGTCATTGTTTCTCTAGCCTAACACCTTGAAATCGTACTGTTGGGTTATTGTCGTCATTGGGGACTTGTATGATACCCTCGGTGTATCTTACATTTCTTCCTCCTTTGTACACGTCCCGTTTCCATTATTACTTTCCCCATTAGGGCATGTGTAGGTAGACGGACGAGTATGGAGGTGGATCGCAGGTATGGGATCAAATGAGAAATGCTTCGTCGCAAATAAGGAGTTTAAGAGATATCGCATATATGAATACGGCCCTCAGGCAGACCTAGGCCCATTCGTGAATCGTAGGTAGGTGTCACGGTTTCATTACAAAAGGCGTGGGCGATCTTATAGGCACAATACGTTAATTACAATTCTCTGGAGAAGGGATTCCTGTGGCTAATGAATACCTATAGATATAGTCTGAAATATCCCCGTAACACAAGTACTCTCAAAAGTTTAAGTGAACTAATAGACTTTAAGTGTATGAACTATATCATACCAACACATACCCACCATAGGGAAAAGCGAGAAAAACCTGTGGCTGTCCGAGTATGCTTTCGTCATCCCAAAGGTACAATATCACCGCGAGAGAGTGTGGTGTGTGGGTTTTACTGGATTCGAACCAGCCTTCTCCTGTCTCAAAGGAGGCAAGTGTTCAAGCTACCCAGTATCTACTTAAGAGAACGGCCCGCATGTTGTACCACTGTACCACTGCACCATCCAACCCAAATACAGAATACAAGCACAGACCAAAGCAAACAGCCCACGTAAATGTGGACAGTCCCTGCTTTTGACCAGAGATATTCCCCTGACCAGCTTCTTTGGTGGTTATTCTTAGTCGTCGTCACATTAGCCGTTAGCTCGCTCCCCGTCTTCAGAGGTTTTGTGATGATCTGATGGCCATGTGCATCCTGAAGGTGTAGATAATTGGGAGCTGGAGACGAGGTACGAGCGTCGTCTTACCACTAGTTAGGTAAGACCGGATCGCCACTCAGGGCAATAGCGTAGAATGTATATAGAGCATGGTAGTCCTTGGAGGAAAGGCTAGACAACATTCTGCTTATCTTAGACTTCGATATTGATCACCCCGTGAATCTGATATCGTGAGTCCCGAGCAATAACGGTCTTAACTACTTACCAGTACCCTCAAAAATAATTATTTTTGTAGAGCAACCGCTCAACTAAAAAAAAAAAAAAAAAAGATTACCTCATTTTAATATAGTCAACATGAGCGCACCGGGCGATTATCCAGACTATTTTCTTGCTGAGGAAGATTCAGTCCCTCAGAAAGAATCGGCAACTACTTATCATTGTACAATAAAAGCCCTACAGCAAGCAACCGATGAAAGATTTGCATTTACTGACAGACGACTGGATAGACTTGAGAATAAGTTGGAATTGAAATTCGACTTAATGATGAAAGAGTTTGCCAAACTCTCAACTCATCTGACAGACGCATCAAAATAACAGGATTCAAGTATCAACAAAAATGAATCTTTCAAACCCGACCACAATGCAGAAGTACAAGGAGAGCATGGACATGGCAACCATCCCACTATATCGAAGGGCACACCAAATTCTACGACTGTGCCACCTCAACATAACCCCTCCGACCAGGCCAGACTACTAGATGGCCGTATTAATCTTTTTCGAACAGTTCCCCCGTATCAGAACAACATGACAATCCAGGAGAAATATGTCAAAGATATCTGACCGGAAGCAAAATTGAAGTCAGGAATCTTTTACTCCGATTCAGTGAGCTCCAACGATAGAAATAGAGTCGTTTTAAAGCCAGAATGGAAATTATCCAGGGCATCTAATGATGTTTTCTCAAAGCTGAGAAATATTCAGACTGCATTATACTTGGCAATGATACCTTGCAACCTATAGCTGCAACAGGTAGCCATTGAAATGGACGGTGATTTCTTTCTGGTACGACGGCTAATAGAAAAATTCGATATATCATGGATGCAAACATTGGAGGCTATATTCGAGACTCTAGAAAATCACGAAATGCTTCAAGAACCTGTCCCAGAATTTGCACGCCTCGCTCCCTACAAGGATGAATCCTACTTGAATTATGCATGGCGTGTTCGAAATGGATTTTTCAACCTCCCAATGCACATCAGAGGTTCAGATATAGTCAGAGTCATAGCTATTAAAAATCTCAAAACATACATGCCAAGTGTTTGGTCACAGATCAGGGAAAACCAACAACAAATGTCAACTACCGAGCTGATGGATCGAGCTGTTAGACAGGCTAAGCACATTGCCCATTGCGAAATTGAAAAAGATACCTACAAGACATCGCCTGAATCAGTGGTCCTACAACACAACTCACAGTTGTATTACAGGCAAAGATCTGAGCAAATGAAATTCGAAGCGACGGGAGGTAATCCTAGACTAACAATTGTGGACCCCACAACAGACGATCAATTAATTGCAACCACGTCCGAACGCGCGTACGTAGAAAAAACGATGAATTGCTACTCATGTGGAAAAGCTGGACATAGTTCCCCAAATTGTCCCACTAAAAAAAGAGAGAATACCCCTAACATTAGGCCTGCAGTGGAACAGC